GTCCTTTCCCGCCTAGTATGAGCAATGCTGAAGTATTACCAAGCAGTAATGCAAGCAGTAACAAAGCAAGTATAGCGGTTCCCTACAATCATGAGACGAGGCTCTGTGTTGAGGGTAAGCAGGAACTGATTTAATGCAAGCCACAACTGGCCTTATATGCAAGTTCCCATGCAACGGGTTTCTGATGACATATTCCAGGGGCATTCCCCACTGGACCTGAGGGTGGACTTCAGTAAAAGCACACACATAATTAAATTAACTCTCAGGTCCAGGACATGCATAATAAAACAAAAAACAAAATACACACTTAACAAGTAGGTACCCCCTCAAGTCCTATATTCCAGATAGCCTGGATCTGAGCACCCAACATATTCAAAAAGCACTCAGAGCCCACGAATGCAGATGAAACACCACCAGGGTATAGTTTAGACCGACCACACACAAGGCACCTGCCCAAAAGAGTTCCATAGATTCAGGCTGTGCGGTCGGTCTCTTTCAGGAGTACAAAACACAATAAAACAATGAAAGTATCTGTTCGTATAAGAGTTGGTCGTGTGCCCATTGGGGAGTTTGTTTCTAGTTAGTCGAACCAAACCAAACATACCTGGGGTTGGAAGTCCCAGCGGTTTTTGCGCCGTTGAATGGCCGATTTTAGTTTCATACACTCGATGACCAAACACTGCTGTATGTGTTCGCGAAACCAAGATGGCCACCACCTCATGTTCGTCAATACAAACGATGGCACCCAGTCGACCGCTTAGATTGTTGGTAATTGCGATTTGCGAAAGTGTAAAAGAAGTCAGGCAGGTTAATGAGCAGCACACGACTGTTCTGGGTGGTCTATTCATTCGTTATATGGTTCGGTATGTGATTCAAATTGTTCAATCTATTCGGTGATGTTCGTATACCGGACAAGTCAATGTACAACAATAATCCAGGGACAGGGAATTTGTCACAGCAATGTTTGAAGTTATTGTAATTGGTAAGTATAAAATTCTTTTACATGCCACACATTATTTTTCTTCGAGCAGGTCCCCATTTTGGATGGAGTATCTACTCGGCACAGTACATAGTGAGGATGGCTCATTTAAAGGGGCTTGAGGTCCTAACACCTAGTGTAGCCAACCCATCTCATTGCCCAACAGATGGGAGTAGGAGTGGGACCATCAGCCAATACTGACCTATATCCCACCAAGATAGTGTGTTGGAAAGTAGGAAACGATTGAGCCAAGTTATCTCACAGTTTATTCCAATCCTCTGAATCTATCAAATTCAATAGAACTGAACTGCACTGACCCACTGCCCCAGGCAGATACTCGAGCAATCACAGCACGAGCATGTTAAATGCGTCCATACTAGGCTAAGATAACTCAAACTATTTTGCATCATTTTAGTCAATTTGTGCTACTTTGGAAAAGACAAACAGCTGATCTTGTGCTCAGGGTTAGTAGGAGGTGAAGAGACACAAATATCCACTATTCAGCCAGCGGGCTTTAGTCTTGTGTAATACATTTATACAAAAAGCTGGTATTTCACAGAAATAAATTGGAAATCACGTGATCTCAAAATATTTACTAAATTATACAAAGAATGAGGCATACGTCAACAAATACTATAAAAACAAAGTATCTAGTTTTGTGCGTCACCCCATAGTGAGTTTCAAATGTGGTTTACCCTGTTATTATGGGGTGACATCTAGTTTTTTGGGTCACCCCAAAGTACGTGGAAAGACAGGGATATTGTATCACAACAATAATAGGTATATACAATTTGACTTATAGAAAATTTGTCTGTTTTCCTCAGAACACGCTATACAGAGAATACATATGATTAGCAATTCATATAAAAAAACAGCACTTCATATAAAAATGGGGAACTCACGCTTTTTGTGCATGGTGGATAAATTAATTCGGCCAAACTGGACTTTAATTTGGACGATCAAATATTGTCAATGCAGTGTTTCGGCTCATCACAATTTTCTCTGTGCAAACTATTTGGGCAAACCAAAAGGGTGCAAAAATGAGCCCATCACTGTACTGCAAGATATATACATAATATTTAGATGTATATATGGTGTTCAGTACAGTAACAGGATAACTCTCAACACTTTTACTGAAGCAAATTCCAGTTGGAATTTTACCATTCACATTCAGTCAACATCTAGCAATATCTGAGTTTTGAGCATTCGACTGCGTATTTTAAGGTTTAGTAATACGTCCATATGGCGATTCGGAGTTATGGAATTCAGATGGCCAACCAAAATCCGGAGAAACTGCAATTTATTTGAAACAGAATGCACAAATCTGATAGTTTCTCTTTAGAAGAGGATGTGTGTGTGCGCAGTTTGTTACTTGTATGTACAGTTTATGTCCCCCCCTGAACCCTCTGCCCCCGTCCCTTTTTAATTAATATCTCTCCGTGTTGGTATGTACGATTTATGGGTGACCTGTGTCCATTATCTGATTGCTGGTAGCTCAGTGCTGTCTCTATGACTTGTTTTCAGACTTTGCTGTTGGAGACGATACGGTGTGTGAGTGAAAAACCATTACTAAACAACCAATTAACATCGACAGGACAGTCAGAACTGGTCCCAGAACACTGCAGTCAGCTTTATTAAAGTGCTTTAGACTGTGTACGTGTTGGCTTCAATTACCCTCTTGGAGTGAACTAAAAGGGCTTCTTTTAAGTACAACATATATCTTTAATATTCTATCCAACCATGAGATGTCTTTCTTCTCAAACAAAGAAAGACTATCAAACTGTCTACAATCTTAGTGGAGCGACATGGACATAAAATAGCCAGAATGGTTTGTAAAGCAGTGACCGACCAACCACATATTTGAGGATTTTATTTTGCTATAAAATAGCCCAAATATCACTGATGGTTTAATAATCCCCAAAGCCCCTAAAACACACTGAGAAATACACCCTGAGCAGGTCACGGACTACGGCCACGATTTATTATTTTTGGATGAACTTTTCAAATTATTTATTATTTTTTTATAAACTTTTCAAATGATTTAATATTTTTGGAAATACTTTAAAAACACATTTTTAAATATATTAAAATATCAAAACCTATATGATATACAAAAAAAAAATCTATCAATATATAAAAAAAATCTAAATATTACAATATTAAAATAGTTTTCAATATATGCAATCATTTAACCTAAAAATATGGAATCGATTCCTACGTGCCCGGTTAATAATGCGATTGGCCTGAGAACGCAGAATAATGTGTTATTTAAACTCTGGGCACCCCAGCACACAGTAAATGATCAGTGAATACAGATTGTTTTACACCATATCACGATTCAGATTAATGATACAGGGCCATGAAGAATAGCTAAGGGCTGTAACTTCTAACAATGTCTGGACACCAAACAAATCCTTTGCATTTAGGTCCATGTAGACAAATATCTTTGCACCCCTATCTTGTAATGTGGGGGGCCCGCCTGCCAACTATTCTCACCCGTTGAAAAGGCCTGGGAGCCTAAACACGGCCTCCCCTTCCATTACCTTAAATCGCACCAGATGTCGCCCTCCGAGCTAATTGATTTGGGGTCGCACAATGCAGTCATTGTTTTATTTTTTTTCTGGAGCACAAATAAACAGTGGACCAATCCACCACCTCCCAAAATGGCAAAGGTTATTCAATTAAAAGCAGCCCAGAAAGTGTAGGTAATAATCCAGGGAAAGAGGACAGTTACAGCAAAAGAAAACTTTATTCTTGGGCTTTGCTTGGCCTCTCCGGGACTGGCTATAACTATGATGAATTGTTGGTGTGTGTAAGGCCTTATTATTTGTGATGTGAGGGGGGTGAAGGAGTCTCGTTGGGCGATACACCTGCTAGGCCGCAGAGAAGCAGGAACAGCTGGACCTGTTGATTTAGATCATGCTACCACGGCTGCAAGGGCAGATCACCAAACAGCTCGTAAAAAAGGAAAGGGGTTTACGATTTCCCTCTCTCCCCCTCTCTACAAACAAATGGCCACATCATATGTTTTCGTAGCCCCGCAGTCAGTCAGGATGAAATCTAGCCCAAGGTGTGACCATGGTTTTGTGTCAGGGCTTCAATGGCGCGTTCGAGAGCCTCTTCTGGATATGATGGGATGTCCAGGATATTTGAGAACATGTGGGGGCTTTGGCAAGACCCCCCAGACTGCAGCACTACATTGAGTACACTGCCACAACAATAGTTACGTTAGGCCAAAGTAGTCAAATTGGAGCAAATTCCCCCAGAATTCTCTCTTTAGGGAATAGACCTGTTTATGTCTCCAATAACCTCGCCCTGTTAAATATCAGGCTATTATCTTCATCTCTTCCAGCTTAAATGGCATCTTTAATATAAACAGCTTCAAGCCATGAATTACTGAGTTTGTGTATATCGTTATAGCCTGAAGGCCTGCTTCAAATGAAAAGTCAGTTTTACCAGATTATTTACACCCTCTGCGTCATATCTATATTGTCATTCTCCTGCACTATGTTGCATTAATATTCTAATTATGGGGCATTAACTATGCACCCTCCCTTTCACTGACCCCACAGTCTGAACATTAACCCATCGTTTATATTTTGACATTACCGCTGCAATTTCAACTTTTAGTAAAAAAAAAATGCTCGATGTAGAATCCTACGCTTTCTGAATAACAGCATGGCAGAATATGTTGGTACTATATAAATAATTGTAATTATACAGAGTGTGGAGCAAAGAAATGTAGAAAAAGACCGATGGGGAAAATGATGGGTTGAAGGAGACACAAAGAAATAGGCTGAGACGGAGAGATACATTTTATCATCTCTTAAAACTATCACAACGTGTGTTGTAACTCTGTAGACCACAATTTAATATTTTTGGACAAAATTTGCAAATGATTTAATCTCTTTGATAAACTTTTAAACTGAGTTTTTCAAAATCTGAAAATATCAAAAACATATCATATATATAAAAAATATATCAATATATATAAACACATTTTTAAATATATTTTCAAAAGCTTATCTACAAATTTGAAATCAAAGAAATAATTTTTATACTGTCTATTATAACAAATTAATATCTCTGATAATATCTCTGATATTTAGTGTGGCTGTAGTCCTGGAATTTGTGAACAAGGAAGTCACTGGATCAGACAGCTCTGCCCTCGATGAAATGATGTGACATATGTGGCCAATCAGAATTAAGTCAGAATTAGAGGAAATTAAGGAGGAAAGTCCAATGGACCATCAACATGAGGAGAAGGCATGGACTCATTGCGAAGGATTGTGGGTCACTACAAACATTATGTTTCAGCGCGGTTCTGCTTGGTTGCTCTGTGTATATACTATTACTAGTACTGTGAATAATCTCAGAGATTACAGATGTGCTCTGCAGTGTTCTATCTGGGACGTACATAATGAATACCGAAATAACCATTCAGAGCAGACTTTATATGGGTAATCGAAAGCGTCCTATTCTAAGATAGAAATTTAGTAATGTCTACTTCATATGTCTAAGTGTGCTCATACAAATATTGGTATTCTAATATCGTTGATTTTTAAAAGATTACAGAGTCAGTTGTATTCAAGTAATCTGAAGTTTTTCCTAAATTCTAATTGCCTTTTTTTTTAAATTCAGGTCATGTTATTATTCCAAGGACCTGGCAGTGTGCCAGTAAAATTTTACTCCACTAAATATCCATTCAGCCAGAAAATACAAACCATTCCAAATGGTCAGATAAAATCTGAATTCAACTTTTTCTTGTTTTCTTATGTAATATTTTTGAGTTCCATCTTATATCTGTGTCTGAGACGATGCTGTAGGTTCCTCAAGAAATTAAAGGGACATTCCACTTCACAAAAAATAAATCACTGTTTAATAGGTATAGCCCATTGGGGATTAGTGATGTCGCGAACTGTTCGCGGCGAACTCCGGTCAGCTGACACATCCCTGCCAATCTCCGTCAGACCCTCCCTCCCAGACCCTCCTACTTCCTGGACAGCATCCATGTTGAAGTTCGCGAACGGTTCGCGACATCACTGTTGGGGATAAACCTAAAAAGATTGCCAAAGCTACAGATCTCTTGTCCTAAACTTTCTGTGGCTGTCTAATCACAGACTTCCCATTGCAGCTCAATGAGAAGTCTTTGCAAGGCAGGTGCTCTGAGCAATTTCTCTTGAGTTTATCTCCACTGAGCTAACCAAACCAGGAAGTGCCAGGATCAGTTGTCTGACTGACAGCCAGCAGGGTGTAACAAGGTTCGTTTAGAAAAGTGCCAATTTCTATTGAAATCTCACATTTTTATAAAATGAGAAAAAGAGGACACTCTTCACACATAAAGTATTTCAGTAAGCAATACTTCTTTAGGGGTCCGCAGTGTCCCTTTAAGGCCTACATTTAATAAGTTTTGCAAAAGATTTAATACCAAGATTTGAAATTATACCAAATGATTCAGTCACCATTAAAGTCTACATAAACCTTTGCAGATAAATGATTGGAAAGCTGTTCTAACAGAATTGGACCATTTGTAAAATGTATTAAATCGAGGCCTAAGCCGTGGAGCAAAAACGCATATTGGTGAAAAAATAGCCTCCAGTTCCTGTGAGGTGTCACATACTGCAAGAGTTAATGATTCGGACTGTGAGATGCCTTAATATTGTACTAAATGGGTTTCAGCTATTTCTCCTTAAATTTCACCTTGACTTGTTAACTTGGTATTTCCTGGTTTGTTTGATAAATCCATGAAAGATTTATACAGTGCTGAGGAGTATGTATGTTAATCATTCATGTGTGTTGGATACATGTCAGCCACGTGAATAGGTAAAGTTTGGCATTCTAGGTTACATGATGTGGTTTTCATCTGTAATGTTATCACTGCATCCTTCTTGGCTGTAGTCTGATGTAGAAGTAAGAAATCTCATAAAATTCCGAGGACACAGATTCTTTGATTTAAGCAAATTTATTGACCTGTGTCTTTGCCAGAAGAAATGATCACTCAGAGAGCCACGTGGGGCTCTGGCACCTTATTGTCTGTTCTGACTTTTAGTTTCGACCCTCTAAAAGGCACGTACGCACATTCCAAAGACTAGATTGTTTCCTTTGCTTTCCTCAACTATTGGGATTATGGCAAGTTTACTGTTCTTCCAGTAATAAAGAAATGAATCGCCATTCACCATGGATTGGTGATCTTTCCAACATTCTGCCCCAGGCGTTAATGCGTTTTTAAGGGTTAATCATGCAGAGCAGGGACATAAAAAAAACTGCAGTTTCTCTAGCAGACGCTATGACGCTCTGCGGTCAACCTCAGCAAGTCACCGAAGAGACAACCTCTGCATGCCTACCAACGGTGCCCCCGTGTCTGGCCGACGTGGTCCTTGCTTTGTTTACAAGCACTTTCTCAAATTTCAGATCCAGCAACATATTTGTATTTTTATGGTTGTTCCTGCCACCAGTTCCAGAGCAACATCTTTAGTTGCTGATAAAAAAAATATATATAAAATAAAGCCAGAAAAAAAAAAAAAGATGTGAATGAAGTCTGCCCGTGGCATCTGTTTCCCATCCTCGTTAATAACATCCTGGATCCCACGCAGGTGTGTGTTTCTGCCTTTTACAAGGGTACAAACCTCAGTCACATTTACAGGGTCAGCAGGTCTGTCGTTCGGTGTCTGGAGTGAGTGGCTGATTGATTCGCCATGTGGATTTTGTGGGTTCTTTACGTGTGTTAATTACCCTTGATTTTTAACTCCTTGCGTCCCACAGGAGCTCCCAATATAAGGGTGAATTCAGGGAGATCTGAATACAATAAACCTTGTTAAATGGAATTCTGACTCTGATTGACGTGGGAAGAGAAGAAGTTCGGTAAATAGTTTCCCATTCAGAACACGGACGTAGCATTCAGTAGACGTGTGCATGGCACAATTCTAAATCATTTTAATTATAACAATACATTTTTTTCCCTGAGAGAGAAAAATTTGTGGGACATCCAAAATTCAGAGAAATGTCAGTTCGCCTCTGCTGAATGTTGATTTGGAAACTGGAACCAAATTACAAACAAAAAAGGTGTGAAAATGTAGAAATCCTCACTGTTGTGCTACCTCTATCCTGGAACTGGGCGCCCCCATATCGGCTCCCTGTCAATCAGAGTTACTAGGTGTAACCTTTATAGATACAAAAACAAACCATAAACAGCGTTTGCACCTGTCAGGCAGCGTAGAGACCCCCATGGCTTGCATTCAATGTAATCCGCAATGTTTCTCCTCCAGAGCAGCCTGCAGCCTGCGCCCTGTACTGGGTTGGGATGTCAGCTGCTAAATATTTTATAAATATTGAAAAGAAAAATGGGAGAATCAAACGAAAAAAGAGTAAAGACAATTCTAGATGATTTTCAATGTTTCCTATAATATTGACATAATCCTTATCTTCACAAGTCACACGTTATCCTTCCAGTAAATCCTCGGGAGCTCTGTGGATGCTGTTAGCTAAGTGTAGGATCGCAATAGATACCAGGTTCTAGACATACTTTGCCACTGCGCCATTAAGCAGGTTTGCAGCGTGTTGTCCCACCTGCTGATTGGTTCCTGATATTTGTAAGGAATCGAGAATGCTGACCTCAATATACAGAATGTCCAGCAGTGCTATAGGAGGAAACTGGCACTTGGTCATCGTTAAGGTACCATCTCCATACTGGCAGAGTATTCATGACATGGCGCCCGTACCCATGTACTGAGCCTGGACCATCAAGTCTATGGATATTGCAGGATATTGCAGGAGATATTGCACCCCAAATTACTGCTTAGTGAATAATGTCTTGAGTCTGGTAACATTGTTAATGATTTCAATGGATGTGAGATTCCTCAAGTCAGACACAACCTGCGCATGTTTAGAAGGCTGTCCTTGTTCTTGTAATGGACATTCACTCTGTTGCAGCTCCGCACTTTGCTGGCGAGGGAAGTGGCGCATGAAAGGGTTACTCTGATATTTAAAATTAAAAAAAATTTGAAGCTGCCATGTAACATTCTTTGGTTTGAAATATTTTCCAACCCTCAAACTAGACTTATTTGTGCCGGGCTGGATTAATTAAAGCCATATTGTTATAAATCTTTAGATCCTGAAATGATGATTTCTGCAGCGTTAAATAGCTAATAGACGTTTGAATGGAAGTTGCGCAGCTCAAGAATGCTTCAAAATGCATTAAGTCCCCTTTGCCGCTCTCTCTGGATGACAGCTGCCTGCTAGACGAGTCTGTATCACTTCCACATTGCGCTGGAGCCAGTTTAGAAGTGCACGAAACAGGCTTGTTTGCAGCAGTAATCTGACTGACCTACCTCTAGTCCTTGTTATAGCTACATGTGGAGTGGAGCTCATGTAAAGATGTCATCAACAAAATTAAATGTAAGGAAAAAACTAATTGTACCAAGGAGCTTGCAATCATACTGCAAACATTGTTTTATTTTTTTCCTCTTTAATGTGTAAGATTGGTTGGAAGGCAGAAACTGGGTCTATTCATTAACAAAACTATTAATTTGAACATTACCAGAAATGTTTTTCTGCATCCTAACCATACTTTATGAATATGTGATTTTTTTTTCCCGACAACGGAATGGATTTATGAATTTTCCAACAATTTTTCCAAAAGATGACAGATTTTTTTCCCAATACCATAAATGGCGTCCAGCTCAGACATCCTACTGAAGATTAAAGGGAGTATTAAAGGGAGTATTTCCCAAATTACCTCTAGAGGCAGACCGAGCTTGTCTGAGACCTGCGTTGTGCACATGCCCAGTAGCTCTCAGAAGCTTATCCAGAAAGCCATCATTCATTACCAGTCACTCTGTTAATGCTGTAATTATTATTTTATGATTTATATAGCGCCAGTAATGGCAGAAGGAATGGGAGATTATAGCACTGCAGTACTGTGTGCTGTATGATTACCATTTTTAATGGACATTTGCAAGTTAATACTTTCCTATAGGGAAGTCGGTAATTCACTCGTCTTCCACTGACGATAGAATATTTCATTATGACAATTATCTACTAGGGCTTTTCCCTAAGTGCCCCTATGGATGAGCCGCATAGTCTGTTAGCGTATGAATGACTGAGTATGTCTTCGATTCTGTGTCCAAATGTTGAAGTAATATTATTTATATTTGTTTATGACATAAACCCTTACTGACAGCAAGTTTTATGACTTATCTCTGTTAATTTTACATGGCATAATGAATAATGGTGATCAGATTGGACAAGGGGGGTCACTCCTAGGTTTGGCTCAGGGAGCCTGACGATTTAAGACCTTCCTTGTGACTGCCCATGATTTCAAATCTTTCAAATCTGGATTCCGAGTCCTTAACTCGTTGGAACCTCAAGCAAAATATACCAACCAGAAACATGACCTCTCGTGGGCAGACTTCTAATTCACTTTGTTTTGGATCTCCACAACAAAATAGTCTTATTCCTGTGATCTTTTACATGACTAATATATATATTTAGATTTGCAAAGACCCAAAGAGGACATACCTGCTTGATGTGAAGTGGTAGGTAGAATGGAGAGGAACTAACACAAGTTCTACTTTCCTGAATATCTCGCTCATGGGTTCCACCGTTATTCTCACATTGTCTATCTTCAGCGCCTGGTGCCAGGATCCTCTAGCATTGTTGGGCTTTTGCGCATGACTGAGAGTGTAAAAGAGAGATCTATGGAAGATTACACAAGACCCTCCACGTCTCGTTCTGTGTACAAGAAGATGATTTTTCCACAGGCCTGGCTAGCGGCCACTGGTAGGAATTGACAAGACTTGATGCAGCAGCAATTTTTTTATTTTTTTTATTTCAACAAGCACAGTGATAATGAGTATCGTTTATTCGTTTATTAAATTATTATTTTATGTATTAATAATTCATACACCCCGGCCAGCATAATGCACTGTATCAGTCCCTTAGTGCCAAGCTGTATATTTCAGACAGAGGGAAGGAATGGCGATTTAACACACGGTAACAGCCCTTTTTATAGCTTCCCACTGACCCAGCGATGATAAATTATCCTTTATTGGGTACATTTGCTGCCTTTACCAGATGGATGGTGGGGAAATGAAGTCTTAAATAAACAGGGCAAGCACAGGAGCTGAGTGCTAATGAGCAAAGAGTAACAGGAAACGAGCACTTTGCCTGCGTTGGCTATATCCAGGGTGCAGAGCAGAGGCGCCTGGCTGTTTAATTCAACAGGTCAGTGCGTGGCGTTCTCCGAACCCTCATACCATGGCATGGACTCCCAGGAATGAGCCTCCTCTGGTTACTGCCGTAGGTCTGCAGTGAGATCCGCTTCTCAAGGGAAATATTATATTATTAAATGTGTCAGGAAAACACAATCTATATTTATATTCCCCCTACATCCGAGATACATTTCAGATGGAGCCAAATTTAGGGTCAGCTGTGGATTCCAGCCCAGTCACACATGTTTACAGCCGCCAACCCTTTCCTCAACTGACCCCTGACTTCAGGCCTGTGTGATAATGTAAAAAAGGAGATTTTATCACTCGAATTATCCTCCAAACCAGCAAATGGTGAAGAAATACACCTTAGACAAATAACAGCAAGAGATGTACAACGTTCTCCGATCCACTGAAATTGGATTGAACTTCTAAATCTGCCATCCAGCCACAAGGGTCACATCCTGTTATATACAATATATTAATGTATGATAAATGTGCTTTCTGTCTACATGTATAAAACCTCTCATATTAAGGGCAATCGCCTCCTTTCTGAGTTAAATAAAGTCTGTTCCAGTTAAGTAGAAATTATAGGGAGTTCACATTGTTAATGCCTGGTCCTAGATCTCCACCTGAGGGCTACAGGAGTGATTGCAATCGAACAGGAAGTGAGAAGAAGCCGAAGGGAGTCATCGAGGTGCTTGGAGAGGCCTGAGATTGCACGCAAAATTACTGGACAAACGGAAACATGTGGAACAACCAGCAAACACAGCAATGGTTCCACGTTGATTGATCTCAATGTAACGCTTATTGCTAAAGACTTGCTGTCTCCGTGTGCGGCTCATGCAATGCCTGACCTCTACTAGCTACAATGACTCACAATTGGCTGACGGAATT